ACAAGACTGTGCACAAAGCCCACGAGGGGGTGCACCAAGAGTGTCCACCTCAGGTAACTGGGGAGGCTGAGCCACTGGGCCCTACAGGACACCTAGCACAGAAAGCCACTCTATCAACACAGGGAAGCAGCCAAAATGCGGAGACAAAGAAACAGGTCACAAATGGCAGAAATGGAGGAAAGCAAACGACTGGATATAGAGTTCAAGGCCACGTTTATAAGGTTTTTCAAGAATTTTATGGAAACCGCCGATAAATTTAATGAGTCCCTCAATAAGTATAGTGAGACCATGGAGGACATGAAAAAGGACCAACTAGAAATTAAGCATACACTGACTGAAATAAAGAATAATCTACAGAGATCCAACAGCAGACAAGAGGATCCCAAAAATCAAGTCAAAGATTTGAAATACAAAGAAACAAAAAATACCCAACTGAAAAAGAAAAAAGAAAAGAGATTCCAAAAATATGAAGATAGTGTAAGGAGCCTCTGGGACAACTTCAAGCGTACCAACATCAGAATTATAGGGGTCCCAGAAGAAGAGAGAGGGCAAGATATTGAAAACCTATTTGAAGAAATAATGACAGAAAACTTCCCCCACCTGGTGAAAGAAATAGACTTCCAAGTCCAGGAAGCGCAGAGAACCCCAAACAAAAGGAATCCAAAGAGGACCACACCAAGACACATCATAATTAAAATGCCAAGAGCAAAAGACAAAGAGAGAATCTTAAAAACAGCAAGAGAAAGACAGTCAGTTACCTACAAGGGAGTACCCATACGACTGTCAGCTGATTTCTCAACAGAAACTATGCAGGCCAGAAGGGAGTGGCAAGAAATATTCAAAGTGATGAATAGCATGAACCTGCAACCAAGATTACTTTATCCAGCAAAGCTATCATTCAGAATAGAAGGTCAGAGAAAGAGCTTCATGGATAAGAAAAAGCTAAAGGAGTTCATCACCACCAAACCAGCATTATATGAAATGCTGAAAGGTATTCTTTAAGAAGAGGAGGAGGAAAAAGGAACTCTTACCATTTGCCACAGCATGGATGGCACTGGAGAGCGGATAAATACCACATGATCTCACTCATTTGTGGAATATAATGAACAACATAAACTGATGAACAAGGACTGATCCAGAGACGGAGAGGCATTGATTGGACTGTCGGGCTTTGGAGGGAGGGTAAGGGAGGGTGGGGGTAAGGGGGAAAGATCAACCAAAGGACTTACATGAAGGCATATAGGCCTAACCAATGGACACGGACAACGGGGGGGGGGGGGGGTAGAGGGTAACGTGGGGACAAGGACACATATGTAATATCTTAATCAATAAAAATATATTAAAAAAAAAGTCTACTTAAAATTTTTTTTAAAAGAAAGCAAATGTTTAAAGCTTAAAAGATATTTTTTGTAATGGAAAGGGACATACTATAAATTTTGAGTGTATGGGGGTAGAAAGGTAATATCTGTAGGAAAATAACCAATAATAGATTCCAAAGGAATAATTAATGAATGCCTTGAGTTCCAAGCCAGCATTTTTCACCTCTGAGCTGTATTCACTAGGGCTGTGGTCGGCAAACCGCGGCTCGCGAGCCACATGCGGCTCTTTGGCCCCTTGAGTGTGGCTCTTCCACAAATACCATGTGCAGGCGCACACGTACAGTGTGATTGAAACTTTGTGGCCCATGCGCAGAAGTCGGTATTTTGTGGAAGAGCCAAACTCAAGGGGCCAAAGAGCCGCATGTGGCTCGCGAGCTGCAGTTTGCTGAGCCGCAGTTTGCCGACCACTGCACTAGGGCATTCTTATGAAACATAAACATGCTGTCATTAGAGCTTTAGAGGAATGCTATTGTGTACTTTCCATTGCGGAGGTGGGGGAGAAATCTTCCATCTCTTCTCTCTCCTATTCCTTAAGTAACTTGCCCCCAAATCACACAATAATGAGTGATCGAACTAGTATTCAAACTCATATCTCTGAAACTCCCAAATCTGTGACTTTTTCTCAAAATACGGTACTACTTTCTTGATATGGGGATTTTAAAATATGTATATAATTTCAGAGAGGAAGGGAGAGGGAGAGGGAGAGGTGCAAAGTCAGCCACTGCCTGAGGCCACCCAGCAGGAGCTACAGAGAGATCTGCAGATTCCTCCTCTTTGTTTGGGGTTTGTAGGTCCCCAGATGAGGCCCAGCTGTGAAGCAATGCAGGCTGCTGTGGAGCCTTAGGCCTTCTTTTGGAAGCTTTGGAGTTCTCTGACCCAGTTGCAGTTTGTTAGGTTTTAGATTACAAAAGGACAGGCCATTCATATGCAAAAGCCTCTGTGCACAGCTTGTGTGGGGTTGTAAATTGGGTGGGGCGGGGTCTCAGGGAATCACCAGGGCAGAGCAAACAGCAATGGTTGCCAGTCAGCCCTGCCCTGGAGAGGTCCCAGGGTCTCTGTGATTGCTGCAAGCACCTCTGAGAGAAAGCCGCCCTCGTGTTCCAGCCCGATGCCAGACAGTCCAGTTTCTCCCGGTATGAGTCTGGGTCCCCAGAGTCTCACCCGGAACTGGACTTCAGAGCAATCGGGAGCTTGTATCTCCCTCCCAAATGAAAAAGACAACAGTACACCCAGTTGCCAGCCCTTTGTGTGCTCCTCCATACCTCCGCACTTCTGCACCACCGCACCTCCTACCAGTCTCAATGCGCTTTTCTCTTTCCTTCTAGTTCAGCGGTTCTCAACCTGTGGGTCGCAACCCCTTTGGCGGTCAAACGACCCTTTCACAGGGGTCACCTAAGACCATACTGCATATCAGATATTTACATTACGATTCATAACAGTAGCAAAATTACAGTTATGAAGTAGCAATGAAAATAATTTTATGTTTGGGGTCACAACATGAGGAACTGTATTTAAAGGGCCAGAAGGTTGAGAACCACTGTTCTAGTTGTAGAACTTCCACTCAGCCAGCCTTCCTGTGGTTCTGGATGATACCCGTTTTATCTTTTAGTTGTAGTTTTGATGTGGTTGTGCAAAGCAGCAAGTACAGGTGATTACCTATGCCGCCATCTTGGTTCTCTCGGGGATTTTTTTTTAATAGATCTGGCCCAACAGTTTAAATGTGCAGCCAGTTTCAGTTAATCCTGCAGCAAGAGTACTTACTCACCCAAAATGATGAAGATGTCCAGGTGAACATGGCTCTCATCCACAGAATTTTTCTGAGTTTTGTGGGGAGGTGTTCCCTTCACTTGTAGACCCTACTATCAACATAGCTTCCCACCTTCACTCAAGGATTCTATGACCCATCACTGAACTGTTCTGTGAACAAACAGACTCCAGTTTTCAAAAAAGTAAGCACTAACATTTGTGATGGGGATTTTTGTATTTTGTCTTCTTTCAGAGACATCAAAGGAAGCTTGCACATTCTAGTGAACATATCTGCTCTTACATTATTGAACAGCTCTGCTCAGAAGGTTCTTTTGTAATTCTGAACTGAGGAAAATATCTCATTAATGAAGGGCTGATTTGTTACTGTTTCATTTAAAAAATACTTAAATTAGAAAGTGCTTAATAAAGAGCATTTTCAGGTAAAAGAAAAAATCCCCGCCTAATATGAATTTAAGTAAGCTCTATGTTGTTTATTTTTCATATTTGTCTCCACCAAAGTTACAAAGGCACTACCTTCTCTATAAATTTTCTTTTCCCCTCAATGTCTCATACATAACTTTATTGTCTTAATTCATTATGTTCATGAATTAACTTTTTTCACCCAGTGAGATTGTAAGCTCTGTGAGAGCAGGTACCTAATCTTAACATATTTTCACGACCTTTAAGACAGTAATTGTTATTTTGATTCATATAGTAAAGTTGCACCATCTAATAGGGGAAGCCATCAGTATTTTTGGCTTTACTCTAGACCAGGGGTGGGGAATTGCTGGAAGCCGGTCCATCCTTGCTGCTTGACACAGTCGCTGCAGGATAGAAACATCTGCACAGCATATGTTTCAAGGGACCTGGTGTATATAGCATACTGTTCTTAATATGTTTGCTCCCCTTAGCGCTGTGTGTTTTAACCAAGGTCACCTCTCCGAGAAAGGTTGTTTCCCCAGGTAGGAATTTTTCCCTGAAGTCAGGGAGGGGATGCCTCTCCTAGAAAGGTTGTTTCCCCAGGTAGGAATTTTTCCCTGAAGTCAGGGAGGGGATGAAACTCCTTAACTAAGTGCCAGGCGGGTAGTTAATCACTTTAACTACAAATAATCATGCTTAAGCTACATAATCTTTACTCCCTGGAATGGAGATAAGAAACGCCCTAACCTTTGTAATAGAAATTGACAGGATTAAAATCAACTGGTATAAATACGGATGTAACAAGACAATAAACAGCAGAACTTCGCTGGAGATCCAGACCAGAACTTGGCTGGAGATCCTGGCTAGAGATCCTGGCTAGGCTGCTGATCAACTGAACGCTGTCTCTGTGTCCTTCCTTCTTCGCTGACTCCTTCTACACCTTTGGGGACCCCTGGACCTGCTGGGGTTGGACCCCGGCAGGGAATGTCCAGCCCTCAGGCTGCGTAAGGCCTGCGAAATCATTTGGTTTGGCCCTGCCAAGGCAACCGCCGGCAGGACTTGAAATTCAATAAATCTAGGAGCTTTTTTCATGGCAACATACATTTATATTAAGTGAATTATATTAAGCAAATTAAGTTATAAATATCTACATACCTCTTGGCAGAAAAAAGGTTCCCCACTCCTGATCTAGACAAACTTCTAGAGTGATAATACAAGATATATATATATATATATATATATAATGCTCACGGAAGCCCTGATAACATTGGCAAAAAGTTTTTTATTTAATAAATGCCATTTATTTATTTAAAAACTTTCTAAACATGGCTGTTTCGTGGTAAAAAGTTAGGAATTAGTATTCAGTAGTGTCTGGCCTAGTATCGAGTAACAATGATTACTTTCTATTAATAAATCAATAATATTTTTAGTAATCAATGAACTTTTTTGTTTTAGGGAATGTTGTGGGTAACTTAGGACATTCCTTCTTCAGTCAAAGTTTCCTTGGCAGTAAAGAACATGGTGGATTCTTATATGTGACATCTACTTACCAGTCACTGCAAGACCTTATACTCCCAACCCCACCTTATTTATTTGGAATTCTCATCCAGAAATGGGAAACTCCTTGGGCGAAAGTGTTTCCCATTCGACTAATGTTGAGACTTGGAGCTGAATATCGACGTAAGTAATAACATACTTTCTTCTAAAACACATGAGCAAGTCATAATGACTAAATAAAGTTCTGAAATATTCAGAGTCCCCTCGCCCCTTGTGATACTGATACAATTCAGCAGGAGTAGTATTTTGAAATAGCTAAGCTAAACTTAGCCATTTTCTCTACTCATTTTGCCTAGAATGGGAAGAACTTACAAATATCAATTGAGAAAATTGGTGATTATTTATTACCTTCTAAACTTAATGGTTTTATAATTCATTGATAAATACATAATCATCTTGAGAAAAAAATGAATTTGAATTTAAGAAGTAACTTTATTATTTTTTAAACCTGAGGATATGTTTTTTATTTTATTGATATTTTTTTTTTAAGAGAGAGAGAAAAGGAGAGGGAGAGAGAGAAACGTTGATGTGAAAGACAAACATTGGTCTGTTGCCACCCTTATGTGTCCTAACCAGGCATCGAACCCAAAACCTGAATATGTGCCCTGACGAGGAATCAAACCTGCAACCTTTTGGTGCATGGGATAGCACTACAACCAGCTGAGCCACCTGCCAGGGCTAACTTTATTTTTTATGGTGTCTATATTTAGTGGGTATATTTTTTGTCACTTGGTTGGAAAATAGTTATTGCAAATTATATTTTATGTAACCTAACAGATACTGTAAACTAATGGTATAGAGATCAGTCTCAGTTTATAAGGTAAGCAACAGAAGACCTTCCTTCCCATGATTGTAGCAGTGCAACTAAGTTGTGATTTTTTTTTTTTTAAAGACAACAAGGACTAAATGCAAGCTTTATTTTAAACTTTATATCTTCACCTAATTGAACGCATCCTGGTCTAGACCACTTGAATAGGTTCATAATGCTACCACTTACTAGCTCTGTAACTTTGGTTAAATTGCTCAAGTTGTCTGATTGTCAGTTTCGTTTGCAACTGGTGATAATAAGGCCTGCCTTTTATATTATATAGGATTTTTAAGAAGATCAAATGAAATGAAAAATTATTTTATAAACCATAAAATATATATGTTCTCAGCAGGTCAGCTTCATCAGTTCACTTATTTATTCATTAATTCAACAAGAAATTCATAAAGGCCTACCATGTGTCATAAATTCTGGGAATTTAGAAATGGCCAAGACCCGTTATAGTCCCTTGGAACCTTTGTAAGGAAGACATACAGAAATCATGAAGTAGCGTATTGTATTAAAACACATATTTAAAGTTAACAGAGTTCTGTGGGAGCTCCAAGATGGGCTCTAACATCACTAAGAATGAAGGAATTAGATAAGAAATATGTCTTGGGCTGAACTGTGAAGGAAGCATATCCATCGGCCTAGTGAAGTAGGAAAAGGAAAGGGGTTGTTTGCAGATGAACCAGCATGTATAATTTCTTATCTTGAACAGACAATTCAGACCATAAAGTTCAAGGAGTGAGCCAGCTAATAGGATCACCTTGTATTTTACTCCCCTAAGGAGGGTCCTGGTTGGGAGATGTCTAAGAGTGAATTCTTTTAGACTGCTTGAGCACATAGGAATCAGAAGATACATATTTCCTGTATCATATTAATCCACTTTGAAGAACAGTGCTTCCTAAGACCTTGGGGTCATTTTCGAAACCACTGCATCAAAAGGCTTCTTATGGTCATCAGAACGATTGGTGTAGTTTGTAGAAGGCTCAGGATTTGCCTGTGATGCTACCATGCTAAATACTTTTTTTTTTTTAATCCTCACCAAGGATATTTTTTCCATTGACTTTTTTTTTTTAAAGAGTGGAGAGAGGGAGTTGGAGAGAGAGAGACACATAGATTGATTGCCTCCTGCATGTGCCCAACAGGGGCTGGGATTGAGCCTGAAACTGAGGTACATGCCTTTGACTGGGAATCGAACCTGAGACCCTTCACTCCGCGGGCCGATGTGCCAACCACTGAGCCCAACCAGACAAGGCGCTAAAAACTTTTTGAGCTCTAAATTTCATATGCTCTAATGGGCCATTATATTTTGAAAACTGTATCAACCATGATATCTCTTTTATCCAAATTTTAAGCTGCCAGATTTAGTTTGATCATTTCCCATTTCCATAGTTTATCCATGCCCACTGTTCAGCGTCAGATTTCGGAAGCCATTGTTTGGAGAGACAGGACATACCATCATGAATCTTCTTTCGGTAAGTTGGGAATTTTTGCTTTCTTTTTCCTTACTGGGATTTGTATGGGTGAAGAAAGAGAAGGATTTTATTATTCTGTTGATAGCAATGCCTCTGCTGCTTCAGGCATTTGAGGATTTATGTTACAATGTGTATATATATATTTATATATCCTATCTAATAAAAGAGAAACATGGTAATTAGCGTACATCCGCTACCCTTCCCATTGGCTAATCAGCGAGATATGCAAATTAACTGCTAGCCAGGATGGCGGCCGGCAGCAAGGCAGCTTGAAGCTAACATGAGGCTTGCTTGCTTCAGTGACAGAGGAAACCAACGTTCCCCGCATGCCTTGCCGGCCTCTGAGCTTGCAGTTTGAAACATTGTTACAAATATAGAAGCTAAACAAAACCCCAGAAATCTGCTTTCAGCCCGCCGGGATCTCAGAGCTGGAGTCGATACAGTGTTTCGATTATAGAACCCAAACAAACCAGATACCTGCTTTCAGCAGCAGAGGCCTCAGAGCTGGAGCCAGAGCTAAAGCTGGCCCAGAATAAAAAAAAAAAAATTAAAAAAGGAGCAGTTGGGAGCTTCAGTCACCCGCCAGCCTGAAAACAGCCCTCAGCCCCTCACCCAGGCTGGCCAGGCACCCCAGTGCCTGATCCAGGACACCCTTCAGGGCAAACCAGCCGGCCCCCACCCATGCACCAGGCCTCTATCCTATATAGTAAAAGGGTAATATGCCTCCCAGCACTGGGATCAGTGTGACAGGGGGCAGCGCCCAAACCCCCTGATTGCCCTGCGGCTCTGTGTGTGACGGGGTGGGGCCACAGCCTCTCTATCCGCCCTGCTCTGTTCGTGACAGGGGAAGGCACCCCAACCCCCTGATCAGCCCTGCTCTGTGCCTGATAGGGGGGAGCTCCCCACCCCCTGATCGCCCTGCGGCTCTGTGTGTGACAGGTTGTGGCGCTCCAACCCCCTGATCGGCCCTGCTATGTGTGTGACAGGGTGAGGCGCACCAACCCGCCCCCCCCCCCGATCACGGGCCCTGCTCTGTGTGTGATGGGGTAGATCCATAACCTCCCCATCGGCCCTGCCCTGAGTGTGAGAGTGGCGGCACCCCAACCCCCTGATCGGGCCTGCTCTGTGTGTGATAGAGGTCAGCGCCCCAAACCCCTGATCCGCCCTGCTCTGTGCGTGACAGGGGGCAGCGCCCCAACCCCCCAATCGGCCCTACCCTGAGCATGACTGAGGGTGGCATCGCAACTTCCTGATCCACCCTGCTCTGTGCATGACAGGGGGCGGCGCCCCAACCCCCCAATCGGCTCTGCTCTGAGCCTGACCAGGGGCTGCACCTAGGGATTGGGCCTGCCCTCTGCCACCCGGGAGCAGGCCTAAGCCAGCAGGTCGTTATCTCCCGAGGGGTCCCAGACTGCGAGAGAGCACAGGCCAGGCTGAGGGACCACCCCTCCCCCCCGAGTGCACAAATTTTTGTGCACCGGGCCTCTAGTATACACACACACACACACACACACACACACACACACACACACATTCTTTTCCAAGTACAGGGAGCCTTGGAATGAAATAGTATAGGATTCTAGCCCCTGATTGTACACTTATTATCTAAGTGACCTTGCAGGATTATTATGAGGACTAGAGGTAATGAATAATTAAAGCACAGAGCAAGAAACCAAGATGGTGGCATAGGTAAACACCAAAAATTGCTGCCTCGCACAACCACTTAAAAAATACAACTAAAAGACAAAATGGAAATCATCCAGAACCACAGGAAGGCTGGCTGAGTGGAATTCTACAACTAGAAGAAAAGAGAAAAGCACACTGAGACTCAGAGGAGGTGCGGAAGTAAAGTGCAGAGGTACGGAGGCGCAGGCGGAAAGGGCTGGCAACTGAGGATGCGTTGTCTTTTTCAATCGGGAGGAAGTCTCAAGCTCCCGACTGCTCTGAACTCCAGTTCTGGGTGAGTCTCTGGGGACCCAGACTCATACGGGGAGAAACTGGACTGTCTGAAATCGGTCGGAACTCGAGGTGGCTTTCTCTCAGAGGTGCTTGCAGCGATTACTGGGACACTGAGATTCAGGACCTCTTAGGGTAGGACTGAGGTTCTGCCAGAGCTGTTTGCTCCACCCTGTTGATCTCCTGAGACTCCGCCCCACCCAAGCTGTGCACAGAGGCTTTTGCATATGAAAGGCCTGGCCCTTTGCAATCTGAAAATTACCTAACAAACTGCAGCTGGGCCAGACAGACCCAGAACTTCCAAAAGAAGGCCCAAGGCCCCACAGCAGCTTGCATTGTTTCACAGCTGGGCCCCATCTGGGCACCAAATCCCATACAAAGAAGAGGAATCTGCAGATGTCTCCGTAGCTCCTGCTGGGTAGCCTCAGGCAGAGGCTAAATTAGCACCTCCTTAGAGATCCAAGAGCCAATGTACCCAGTGGTCAGAGTGGGACCTTCCAGATTACAACTCCTCAGATCTATAAGGGACACATTCAAGGGGCAGACTCAGTGAGCACCAAAGCCCCACTGAAGCAAGCCTTGCCCTATAAGGCTGTCTCCAGCACAGAAGTTCTCCCACTGTAAACACAGCTGATTCTCACAGCCAATTGGCCTGGAGGTCAATTCCTCCCAGTGATACCTACAACAATCAAGGCTTAACTACAACAAGCCTGTGCACAAAGCCCACAAAGGGGTGCACCAAGAGAGTCCACCTCAGGTAATTGGGAGGCTGAACCACTGGGCCCTATAGGACACCTAGCACACAAAGCCACTCTACCAACACAGGGAAGCATAAAAACTGTGGAGACAAAGAAACAGGTCATTATAAATGTATAACGCAGTGATGAGCTTGCAACTTCACCAGTGCATTGTAATCTAAGTAAATGTGGATTCATGATAAGAATGTACTATGGTATGCGGGCTGTATAAATAAATAAGTAGATTTTTTTTAAAAAAGAAACAGGTCACAAAGAACAGAAATGGAAGAAAGCAAACTACTGGATATAGAGTTCAAAACCAAACTCATAAGGTTTTTCAAGAATTTTCTAGAAACCGCTGATAAATTTAGTGAGACCCTCAAGAAATCTAGTAAGACCCTCAAGGATATGAACAAGGACCAACTAGAAATTAAGCATACACTGACTGCAATAAAGAATATATATTTTTTTAAAATATATTTTATTGATTTTTTACAGAGAGGAAGGGAGAGGGATAGAGTTAGAAACATCGATCAGCTTTCTCCTGCACACCCCCTACTGGGGAGGTGCCCGCAACCAAGGCACATGCCCTTAACCGGAATCGAACCTGGGACCCTTCAGTCCCCAGGCTGACGCTCTATCCACTGAGCCAAACCAGTTAGGGCAATAAAGAATATTATACAGAGTTCCAACAGCAGAATAGAGGATCGCAAGAATCAAGTCAAAAATTTGAAATACGAAGAAGCAAAAATCACCCAACCGGAAAAACAAAAAGAAAAAAGAATCCAAAAATATGAAGATTGTGTAAGGATCCTCTGGGACAACTTCAAGCGTACCAACATCGGAATTATGGGGGTGCCAGAAGAAGAGAGAGAGCAAGATATTGCAAACCTATTTGAAGAAATAATGACAGAAAACTTCCCCTACCTGGTGAAAGAAATAGACTTACAAGTCCAGGAAGTGCAGAGAACCCCAAACAAAAGGAATACAAAGAGGTCCACACCAAGACACATCATAATTAAAATGCCAAGAGCAAAAGACAAAGAGAATCTTAAAAGCAGCAAGAGAAAGAAAGTCAGTTACCTACAAGGGAGTACCCATACGGTTGTCAGCTGATTTCTCAACAGAAACTATGCAGGCCAGAAAGGAGTGGCAAGAAATATTCAAAGTGCTGAATACCAAGAACCTACAACCAAGATTACCCAGCAAAGCTATCATTCAGAATTGAAGGTCAGATAAAGAGCTTCACAGATAAGAAAAAGCTAAAGGAGTTCATCACCACCAAACCAGGATTATATGAAATGCTGAAAGGTATCCTTTAAGAAGAGGAAGAAGAAGAAAAAGGTAAAGATACAAATCATGAACAACAAATACACATCTATCAACAAATGAATCTAAAAATCAAGTGAAAAAATAATCTGATGAATAGAATAAACTGGTGATATAATAGAATCAGGGGCATAGAAAGGGAGTGGACTGACTATTCTCGGGGGGGAAAGGGGATTGGGGGGTGCGGGAAGAGACTGGACAAAAATCGTACACCTATGGATGAGGATGGGGCGGGCGGTAAGGGCAGCGGTTGGGGTGGGAACTGGGTGGAGGGGAGCTATGGGGGGAAAAAGAGGAACAACTGTAATAATCTGAACAATAAAGTTTTAATTTAAAAAATAAAGCATAGAGCATTCTGTCTTGTTTTTATTTTAAGCTAAGCATTCTGGAGTGTATCTAGAATATATCTAGAATCTGAAAACTTCTCACAACCTTTTGAACTGTTAACGTCTGGGTTGAAATTATCACTGTCTCTTGCCTTGATTATTTTTATTATGTTTATCTGATCTCCTTCCCACGTCCCTGGCTAGCCCTCAAACATTCCAGAATCCCCTATAACAACAGACACGTGTGCTTAGCATTAATCTTGCCCCCCTCCCCCACCCCCAGATGGTGATGGTCATCCTGGCCTCAGTGTTGCGATAGCATGGGATACTGGTCTTGGTTTTTTTTCATATTTAAAACCAAATTTTTTATTACTCATTTCGTTAAATGTAAAGCCAACACACATCTTTGTGTGAATACTGTCCAAGCACAAACCTGGTCAAAAAAAAGAAAATGTAGAGGTCCTTATGGTGGCCTGTAGGACCCTGTGAAATCTAGCTGTTTGCTGTCACTTTGACCTTGACTCCTAACCCTCTTGCTCATTTTGCTTCAGCCAGACTAGATGTTGTGTGTGTGTGTGTTTTTACCCTGCAAATATTCATTCAGGGCCTAGGTTGTTCCAGGTATTTGGAATATAATTAGAACAAAACAAGAGAGAGTTCTTACCCTCTTGGAGCTTTCCTTAGCTGGAGGAGGCAGTTAATCTATCTATCTATATAAAAGCCCAGCAACCGAACAGTGGAATGATCAGAATGACCCATCAACCAGTCGCTATGACGTGCACGGACCGCCGGGGGCAGACACTCAACGCAGGAGCTGCCCCCTGGTGGTCAGTGTGCTCCCACAGTGGGAGCGCCACTTGGCTGACTGGGATGAGCGGTGCTCCCACAGCGGGCTGATCCCTGCAGGCCATGCCCCCACCAGTGCACGAATCTGTGCACTGGGCCTCTTAAAAAATAAATATGGAAAGTGTTAAGTGGTGTTAAAGCAGGGTAAGTATTCAGATATTTGTTTAATATTGTATATAAGAGGTATATGAAACTTAAATTTACTTATAAGAGTTTACAGTTTAATGAAGAGCTGGAGTACACATACCAGTACACAATGGAGCTCTCATTATTATTATTATTTAGATGAATTGAAGCTTTTCATTTGACATTGTTCCCATTTTTGCTAATTTTATTTCTATAAATGGAATCCTGTCATTGATTACTTCTTTATTCCACTTCAATCTGCTTTTGCCCAGGACTTCAGAAATTACCAATATACATTGCCAATAGTTCAAGGTTTGGTGGTTGATATGGAAGTTCGGAAAACCAGCATCAAAATTCCCAGCAACAGATACAATGAGGTAAGATTTATCATGAAGCCCTGACCAGTTTGGCTCAGTGAATAGAGCGTCGGCCTGCGGACTAAAGGGTCCCAGGTTCGATTCCAGTCAAGGGCATGTACCTTGGTTGCGGGCACATCCCCAGTAGGGGGTGTGCAGGAGGCAGCTGATCGATGTTTCTCTCTCATCGATGTTTCTAACTCTCTAACCCTCTCCCTTCCTCTCTGTAAAAAATCAATAAAATATATATATTTTTAAAAAAGATTTATCATGAAGGTGTATTTTTCATAGTTCAATGAAGTTGAAAAATAGAGGATTATTTATAAAGTTTATTTTTAATTAATTGACAGTGAAATCAGTTCATAATATCGTATGAGCTAGATCCGTGGTCGGCAAACTGCGGCTCGTGAGCCACATGCGGCTCTTTGGCCTGTTGAGTGTGGCTCTTCCTAAGCCTTAGGAGTACCCTAATTAAGTTAATAACAATGTACCTACCTATATAGTTTAAGTTTAAAAAATTTGGCTCTCAAAAGAAATTTCAGTCGTTGTGCTGTTGCTATTTGGCTCTGTTGACTAATGAGTTTTCCGACCACTGACCTCTAGATCAATAATGGGGAAATTTATAATTAGCAAGATATTAAATTTGTGATTTATTTAGTCATTGGTTGTACTTTTGACCTTTGGATGTTGTGATAATCAGTGATAGATTTGCATTCTGATCAATATATAAAATAAACCTTATAATATTCATGGTGGAATCTCATTTTTCCTTTACTGTCAGAACATGTTATTTTTGACTGTCCTTAATGTTTAAGCACAGGTCACTTTAAGTCCTGAAATGACATTTAAGTAAGGTTCCAGAAGCAAATGATTGCATCTTAAATTAAGCTGTATTTTGTAACTAAAATGAAATTGTGCATACTATATACATATTAACAGCTGCATAAACCTTTATCTATTTGTCATGTGAAATCTTTCTTGAATTTAAAATTTTCTTAAAATAATTTCTGAAATGTCTAGTAGTAAACATTGTGGTTTAAAATAAGTGTTATTTTAAAACTTAGCTTGATAGCATAATGGTTAAAATGTGTTATTTCTTTAAACTTGTGTTATTAGGCAGGGTGGTAACTCCCTGATTACTTCTTTCACTACTTCTTGGTATGAAATAATTTCCTCCTTCTCTCTCTTTTTTTTGCTTTCTTCCTTCTTTATTCAAACTTCTGTTTACTTACTCATTTGTACATTCAGTAAACATTGTGTACTTGTTATGCACTTAGAATCACACAAATGTTTTACTGGACTTAGAAGCTCAGGGCTCCGCATTGCTATGTGTGAGAGTGACCTATGTTAAGAAAGCCTTTACCCATGGTTTTCTCTGTGATGGCTTTTTTCAGGAGAATGGAAAATAGTAGCTAGTGTATGCTTAATTTTTTTTCTGGGATATGATCAGCAGTTTTTAGCTTTTAGCCCTACCTGGAAATAAATATCAAGCATTAATATACTAGACTAGGTAGAGGCAAATCTTCAAAGTGAACTATAAAGAGAGTATGCTTTGAAAACTTGTTTTATTTCTCATATTTGAAATTTTATTATTTGATTCATAAACATTGATTAAGCATATTCTTTGTTACGAAATACAAAGATGAGTAAGAACATTTTGCTTGCCTTGTGGGAGCTTACTGTCCAGAAGTAAAATGATCAGAGGTCATCCCCAAACCGCTAACATAGTATATTACTATCCTTGGTGTTTGCAAGATGGTGCTTTGTGTTGGGAATTGGGTCTGCTTAATATATCTGCGAAAGCTATGAGGCTCCCATAATTATTTCAGTATTGACTGATGACATTCATGACAACAGCTGTCATTCATATTATTTGTCTTTATCTGAATTCTCTATTCTGGATTTATGGTTGTGCAGTTTCAGAAATCTTTGTTCAAAAATAGTTAACTGCATTTCTTATCATTTATTACATTTCATTTTCAATGAAGTTCACCAATTTATTATCACTTATTTTTCTTACCTGATTTAGCAGACTGACTTCTCTTCTAATTTAGTTTTTGTTTCAATTCAACATAATTGTATCTCTCACAGTCTTGGAGAATTGAACTGTGTTGTGTCTAATAAATCTTCACTTCATATTTGAAAAAGCATATTTCATTATATACATTATTTCTTTAATCAACCACAACATTCTACTTTTCCTCTCATTCATTTTTTCATTTATTCCCATAGTCTTTCTTATTACTTCCTAAACTATGTTCCTTTTTTTGCTTTATAGCCCTTGCACAAGCTATTTTATTGATGCACACTTCCCCTCCTCTTCACCTGCCTAACGCTCACTCACTTTTTAAAATTTTTATTTTTGTTAACCCTCACCCGAGGATAAATATCCATTGATTTTTAGAGAGTGTGAAAGGGGTGAGGAGAGACTGAGAGAGAAACATTGATGTGAAAGAGTCACATTGATTGGTTGCCTCCTGCATGCGCCCCAACTGGGGCCAGGGATTGAGCCTGCAATCAAAGTACGTGCCCTTGACCGGAATCCAACCCAGGACCCTTCAGTCCACAGGCCAGTGCTCTATCCACTGAGCCAAATCTGCCAGGGCTAATTTTTCAGGTGTCAGTTTCAATAACATTTTCTTAGATAGGCTTTTGTTTAACTGCCAACTGAGGTAATCCTTGTTATAAGCATCCCTAGAATTCCACACATCCTGTATGCAATACTCACTACAGATGGCCCTAAAATCTGAAGAGTATTATATTTTCTGGATTTCAAGGAATACATTTCTTTTCTCTTAGGAATACATTTCTTATTCTTTTTTCAAAAGAATAATAGGAGTTGGTGAAATATGCAAAATAGGGCATAGAAGTGGTATTTCATTGACTATTGGTTAGCTGTCCCTAGTGCTATATGTGGAAGACAATATTTAACCACAGGTATAAATTCGTGCCGAGCCAGCTCAGCCAGGTTTGGTGAGCTGTGAAGGATTGAGAAAAGACAGACGAGAGAAAAGCTGGGTCTGGATGGGATGCTGTCCTCTCTGATGGAGAGCTAGCGACAGCGACACAGACTACAAGCCAAGTCTTTATTTTATAGCCAGATTCCATGAGGCAAAGTAAGGGCGTATTCAAGATGTTTACAACATTCTCATGGGTTTCGAATCTACTCAGTTACATGCACCTGAACTCTATCAAGCCCACATTACTCAGACACGTGGGGCCACGTGTTCGGACTATAGGTTCAAGCTTACAACTATAGCCTTTGGTTTTAATTGTGCTGGGACTTGCACATGGCTTTGCCATGAGAGGAGCTTGCCCTCATTAGTCTCAGGCTTGAACCTGTCTAAATGCTGTGGTCACTCTCCACATAAATTAAAATAAAAGGGTCCCCAAGAAGGAGCCCTAGATGTTGTACCTCCACTGACTGCAACAGGAAGTCATGGCTGAACACTGCATGTTCAGAATAAGATTGTCCCGTCCACCATGAACAGTGGCTCCAGAACACTGCTGCTAGCCAAATCCCTCCCAACCTCGCTGCCACTTTTGGTCTTGAAACCACCAGCTCTGATCTCAGATGGTCAAGAATCCATAAGAAGTCCTGGGCTCCTGAGGCATCCTTCATCTCTCACAATTGTAATATCTGTCTGTGTTCATTTCCCTGAACCTCTCACTCATTTCAGAATACCCAAAGCTTAGTCCTTTTAAGTTCATTTGTCTCTGACCATTTCCTTGGTGATTTGTCCAGTCCTCTGGCCTTAAATACTGTCTCTCTGCTGATGTCTTCTAAGTGTCGTTCTCCAGCCTGAATCTCTCTCCTGTTTTGTAGACTTGAGTGCTTACTGCCCACTTGACAGCTCTATTTGAGTAGGCATCTCAAGCTTAGTAAGTTCAACTCTGACCTCTTACTCTTCCCTCAAAACCTGCTCTTGATGTAGCAGTCCCTAAGTCCATGGTCGGCAAACCGCGGCTCGCGAGCCACATGCGGCTCTTTGGCCCCTTGAGTGTGGCTCTTCCACAAAATACCACGTGTGGGCGCGCACGTACAGCGCGATTGAAACTTTGTGGCCCATGCGCAGAAGTCGGTATTTTGTGGAAGAGCCACACTCAAGGGCCCAAAGAGCCGCATGTGGCTCGCGAGCCGCGGTTTGCCGACCACTGCCTTAAGTTAATGACAGTGCTGTTCTTTCAGTTACCAGGCCCAAAACTTTGGAGTCATCTGTCTTAATATTAAGATATCAAAAATACTTAAAGTGATCTACAGGTTAAATGCAAGCCCTATCAGAATTCCAATGGCTTTTTAAATTAAAATATATTTTAGCCCTAGCTGGTTTGGCTTAGTGGTCAGAGCATCAGACTTCGGACTTAAGGGTCCGGGTTTGATTCCAGTCAAGGGCACATGCCTGTGTTGTGGGCTTGATCCCCAGTAGGGGGCATGCAGGAGGCATCCAGTCAGTGATTCTCTCTCATCATCGATGTTTCTACTCTCCCTCTCCCTTCCTCTCTGAAATCAATAAAAATATATTTTTAAAAGAATTGAAAAGGGGTACTCATAGCAAGTACATTTACACATGTGTTCACAGTAGCACTATTCATGGTAGTAAAAAAGTGAACATAGCCCAAAGGCCCATGGGTGGAAGGATAAATAAATTGTGTTATATATACATCTAACCTTTGAACAACACAGGTTTTAACTGGGGGAAGGGGGGTCCGTTTATATGTGCATTTTTCAATAAATATAGTCATTCCTCTGTATCCCCAAGCTTCGTATCTGAGGATTCAACTAACTGCAGATCCAAAACAGTATTTTCGATCTGTAATTGGTATCGGTGAATGTGGAGGTCCAACTGTCAGCATTGTTCTACTTGAGAACCCACAGATTTTGTTATTCACAGGGGTCCTGGAATCAATCCCTCATGGATACCAAGGGACTGTACTTAATTTTTGGGGGAGCCAAAAGTTATAGGTGTACTTTTGACTGTACAAGGGATCAGTAACCCCTCTGTTGTTCAAAGGTCAGCTGTATATATAATGAAATATTATTCAGCCATAAAAATAAATGAAGTACCGATACATGTTGCACCATGAAAGAGCTTCAAAAACTTTATTCTAAGTGAAAAAAGCCAGACGTAATGGTCACATACTGTAATGTTCCATGATATGAACCATCCAGAATAAATGCGTGGAGACAGAGTGCAGATCGGTGTTTGGAGGGGGAGTGAGGAGACACTGGTTCACGAGCGAGGGGTTGTACTTCTGGTGATGGGAATGATTTGGAACTGGGTAAGGTGGTGGTTGCCCAACATTGTTGAGGAGAACCAAGATGGCGGCATAGGTTAACGCTGGAGTTTGCTGCCTTGAACAACTACTTCAAAAGTGAAACTAAAAAACCGAATGGACATCACCCAGAACCACAGGAACGCTGGCTGAGTGGAAGTCCTACAACTAGGAGGAAAGAGAAACGCATACAGACACTCAGAGGAGGCGCAGTGCTGAAGTCAAATTCTGAGGTGCGGAGTGTGCGGAGCGGGCTGGCGGCGGAGGGCGCGGTTGGCGTTTTCAATCGGGAGGGAGTCGCAGACTCTGAGCTCCAGATACGGGCGAGTCTTTAGGGACCCAGACTCAAAGGGGAGAAGCGGGACTGTCTGGCTTCGGTCAGAGCGAGTGCAGCTTTCTCTCCGAGGTTTGCCGCGGGACGGGACTGAGAGCCGCCATAACTGCTCTCTCCGGCCCACCCTGTTGATCCTGTGAGACCCGTCCCGCCCAAGCCCTGCACAGAGGCATTTGCCGGATAGCCTCAGGCAAATGCCAGATTAGCACCTCCCTAGAGGACAGAAGTTCTCTCACTGCAGACACAGCTGATTCTCATAGCCACTTGGCCTGGAGGTCAAACCCTGCCTGGTATTAGCTACAACAATCAAGGTTTAACTATAAGACTGCGCACAAAGACCACTAGGGGGTGCACCAAGGAAGCATAACAAAATGCGGAGACAAAGAAACAGGACAAAATTGTCAATGGAAGATATAGAGTTTAGAACCACACTTTTAAGGTCTCTCAAGAACTGTTTAGAAGCCGCCGATAAACTTAATGAGATCTACAAGAAAACTAATGAGACCCTCGATGTTATATTGGGGAACCAACTAGAAATTAAGCATACACGGACTGAAATAACGAATATTATACAGACTCCCGACAGCAGACCAGAGGAGCGCAAGAATCAAGTCAATGATTTGAAATGCGAGGAAGCAAAAAACACCCAACCGGAAAAGCAAAATGAAAAAAGAATCCAGAAATGCGAGGATAGTGTAAGGAGCCTCTGGGACAGCTTCAAGTGTACCAACATCAGAATTATAGGGGTGCCAGAAGATGAGAGAGACCAAGATATTGAAAACCTATTTGAAGAAATAATGACAGAAAACTTCCCCCACCTGGTGAAAGAAATGGACTTACAGGTCCAAGAAGCGCGGAGAACCCCAAACAAAAGGAATCCAAAGAGGACCACACCAAGACACATCATAATTAAAATGCCAAGAGCAAAAGATAAAGAGAGAATCTTAAAAACAGCAAGAGAAAGAAACTCAGTTACCTACAAGGGAATACCCATACGACTGTCAGCTGATTTCTCAACAGAAACTTTGCAGGCCAGAAGGGAGTGGCAAGAAATAGTCAAAGTGATGAATACCAAGAACCTACAACCAAGATTACTTTATCCAGCAAAGCTATCATTCAGAATTGAAGGTCAGATAAAGAGCTTCACAGATAAGGAAAAGCTAAAGGAGTTCATCACCACCAAACCAGGATTATATGAAATGCTGAAAGGTATCCTTTAAGAAGAGGAAGAGGAAGAAAAAGGTAAAGATACAAATTATGAACAACAAATATGCATCTATCAACAAGTGAATCTAAGAATCAAGTGAATAAATAATCTGATGAACAGAATGAACTGGTGATTATAATAGAATCAGGGACATAGAAAGGGAATGGACTGACCATTCTTAGGGGGGAAAGGGGTGTGGGAGATGCGGGAAGAGACTGGACAAAAATCATGCACCTATGGATGAGGACAGTGGGTGGGGAGTGAGGGCGGAGGGTGGGGCGGGAACTGGGAGGAGGGGAGTTATGGGGGAGAAAAAAGAGGAACAAATGTAATAATCTGAACAATAAAGATTTAATTAAAAAAAACAAAACATTGTGAATGTATTAAATACCACTGAACTCAATTTAAAATGGTTAACTTTATGTCATGTAAATTTCACCTCAGTAATGTTCTTTTTAGTATATTGATACAGGAATATAAAAGGTATGCAAACACTCATCTGATATTTTTAACACTGTGGCAATGCAGTTTATAACATAAGAGGGATAGGGGAGTAAAACAAAATACAAATTTTGGACTAGTTTTTCAAAAGATCAAAGCCATTTTAAAGGATTGGATCAGAAAGTTGGACAAATGGGATGGCATGGAAGAAAAAAATGGGAAATAAAAACAAATTATTATTAGCTTCTTTCAACCAGAAGCCAGAGTTCAGCATCAAGATAATATAAGCTCAGTTTTGTTTATTAGACACAAAATGGTGGCCTGTGAATTTTTAGGTTAGCTTCAGAATTATTTAAAATATTTTGATAAGAACAAAGCAAAATTTTGGTAAATGACTCATTGAAGATGTCAAGCATAAATTAGTAAAACTAAGAAACAATGGAGTTTACATCTTTTAGAGGAAAGGCCTCACTCCTTAGTATGGATGTGGAAAAAGAAGGCAGATACATTTTAATATGGGACATTCTTTTGACTTAGAATTTCAGTATTTATATCTTCAGAGAACCCACTGAATGATAGAAACTGCTGAAGTTCGCTAAACTAATTTTAGTTGCTTGTGTTGAGTGCAGCAATAAAAGACAAAAGAATGCAAAATGTGTCATATGCCTAAGTTGTAATACGAATCACCTATAAACTATACAGGGAATTTTTGTATGTTGATTTTTGGGCTAACAGTGACTGATCTTTCACTCTGTTTTCATTATTTGGTAGCCCCTTTATCACTGTAATAAATAATAATACTCTGTTTTGTCTTTGAGAAGGTGAAGGAGTTGTGCCATATCTGACCCAAAAAAAAGCCCATTCTTGGCAGAGAAGAAAGCTAACCCTCTTTTTTGGTTGCAGGTGATGAAAGCCATGAACAAGTCTAATGAGCATGTCCTGGCAGGAGGTGCCTGCTTCAATGAGAAGGCAGACTCTCATCTCGTGTGTGTGCAGAATGATGATGGAAACTATCAGACCCAGGCCATCAGTATTCACAACCAGCCCAGGAAGGGTGAGTCATTGTGCTGATGGAGATGATGAGAATGGAAGATTGTACTGGACTTGGAGATTGGGTATCTCAGCCCCATCACATGTACTTTCTAGAAGGGTGACCACAAACAACCTGATTAAGTTAACATTTCCAAGCTTATTTTCCAGGTTACATTGGCTCCCCAGTAGCCACACGCAGAGTTGCAAATGGCATCTCTGTTATTGAGGGGAACATTCAAAAATACTGCCTCAGGATATTGACAGGGCCAGCATTGCTATCTGAAGGGAGGAGACTAGGCCCCATGGTGAAAATATACTTAGATTTGGGGCTTGTTGAATGACCATACTCAAAGAATGTTAATTAGTAGGTCGACAGGAAGGAAGGTTTCTAGGTTCAGTGGCACTTGGATTGTGGTCTCATCACTTAGGAGATTGTTAGAAATGAAGAGTCCACTCCCCAGATCTGCTAAATCAGAATTTGCATTTTAAACACAATCCCTATGCAATTCATTTTTTTTTAAAATATATTTTATTGATTTTTTACAGAGAGAAAGGGAGAGAGATAGAGAGCCAGAAACATCGATGAGAGAGAAACATCGATCAGCTGCCTCCTGCACATCTCCTACTGGGGATGTGCCCGCAACCCAGGTACATGCCCTTGACCGGAATCGAACCTGGGACCTTTCAGTCCGCAGGCCGACGCTCTATCCACTGAGCCAAACCGGTTTCGGCATCCCTATGCAATTCAAATACACATTAGAATTTAAGAATCACTGCTCAGTGTGACATTTTCTCAAGTGTCTTATCAGGTTCTATGATTTTAAAATATATTCATATAAATAGATGAACGTTTTGCTTAATACATTAAACTGAGAAATCCTGAGATAAATCAGTTTAAACAGATTTTTTACTACAGTTCTTTTTCAGAGGCTTTAACGAGCAGTGTGTACTGTGATTTTCCAAAAGGCGGGTAGTGTGGACCCCTTCCTAAATTTATTTGACCATAAGTCTCTTTCCCCTCAGAATATCTCCTAAAACTAGCTTTCTTTAGTATGCTTTATGAAACACTTCTCTAAAAGACATACTGTAAGTCACTTTCTTTAATATATATTTAAAATCAGTTATTTAGTTAGTAAAGGTATAAAAGGTATGTAGCACATATATATTCAAATACCATATCCAAAATAAGGTAGGTGATAAGTCCACAGAGCTCCCTACTAGTCAAATCTTACTTAGAATATTTAATAAGTTCTGGAGATCTTTAATGCAATTGATGATGTCCATTGGTAAAACTGGATGATCTTCAGAGGAGGATTCAAGGCATGTGAGAAATCTGGAAACTAGGTCAAAGGAAGACATCCTGACTGAAGTATAAATGTTTTACCTGAAAAAGTACAAGTAGCTATCTCTATTTTTAAGGTTTTTCTGTTATGTGGAAATAAGATTCAACTTTTTCTGAATAGCTACAAAAGGCCAAAACCAGCACCATTGGGTGAAAGTAACAAGGCTCTAGATTTAGGCTCAATTTGAGAGCACTCTCTTTAACTGAGAGTTACCCAGGAGTAGAATGGACTGCCGTGCGCTGTTGTGGGCTCCTTGTCAGTAGGAGCCTCATCAAAGCCTGGCTGACCTACCTATTAGAAATACTGGGGGCCAGTGGGTAGGGAGCTGGAACAGCTCAGTCCAATTTAAGATGTGGAGATATAGAGTGTAGAGAAGTTTTCATGAACCTAAATGTATTAAATATCTATTCTTTTATGAAGTGTCAGTGGTATCAGGTGTTTGTCTTTCAAATAGGTGCTTGTGTTTTTAATAGCTCCACTTCGTAAATAAAATAGTTGGCAACCATATGTCAATATTTAAAATATATTTGACCTAAAAAACACACACCTGGAAATCAGTGACTTTAGATCAGGGGTCAGAAGACTTTTTCTGTATATTTTAGGCTTTGCAGGCCTGTAGTCTTTTTTGTCACAGAACTACTCAGCTCTGTGACATCATATTTCAAAAACTGCCATAGACAATGTGTATATGAATGGACATGGCTGTGTTCCAATATAATTTTATTTAGAAAAACAGGCTTCAGTCCAAGCCCAGGACTTGACCACTAAGATTTCTCTGCCTGTAAAATTCTTTGATTCTTGATTGTAGGAAGAACAACAACAACAAAAAATGGGAGCGTGTATCTTTTTTTATTTTTTTAATATATTTTTATTGATTTCAGAGAGGAAGGGAGAGGGAGAGAAAGATAGAAACATCAGTGATGAGAGAGAATCACTGGTTGGCTGCCTCCTGCACACCCTACACTAGGGATCGAGCCTGTAACCCAGGCTTGTGCCCTGATGGGGAATCAAACCAGGACCTCCTGGTTCATAGGTCGATGCTCAACCACTGAGCCACGCTGGCTGGGTGGGAGCGTGTATCTTAAAACCTCATTCGCTGCCTATCACAAGCATCAGGATTATTGGTTACTTGTGTATTATGGTGTACAGAGTTGTTGTTTCTTGTCTTCTGGATGGTGATGGTTGGATTCCCAATGACTAAATATTTTATTGTTCTTAGTCTCTCAATCTCAGGGTCTGTCTTCATCAAACTATTTCTTTTGTTGTTTTAGTGACTGGTGCCAGTTTTTTTGTGTTCAGTGGCGCTCTGAAATCCTCTTCAGGCTATCTTGCCAAGTCCAGTATTGTGGAAGGTAAAGAATGAGTTACTTACTGCACATACAGTAGTTCAGTCCTATTTGTACAACTGAAAAGCAAAGGATACTTTGACATTTTTGCCATAGAGTTCTGGACTCATTATTTATTCCATAGCATCTCACTCTTCAGCTACTTAAAACTGTCATATAGTGGTTAGTTCTCCAAAGAAGGAAGTAAGTGATAGAGATACTGTGGGACGGTGCTCTTAGAACTACCCTGCACAGAAGGGGGTAGTAATTGGGGGGTGGGAGGGAATAAACGTGTGTGGAATGGCACTAATTATTTAAGAGATGGCCTTTCGGAGCTTTGGGATAAGGTACCCAAGGGGACATAGTCTAAGTTTAAATATATCATTGGGCGCGAATCTGTGAACATGTGGATGTTACCCACACGAATGTCGCAGTCATCATTTGGGATAAGGAGAAACTCTTCCTTGTGTCTAAAGTGAAACCAACAGGCAAGTGTTTTAAACAGAACGTATCTCGGCACTCGCTCCTCATAGCACTTTCAGTGAGGAAGAGCTCAGCTCAAAGCACAACACCTGCTTGTGTCTTTCTGCTGTAGAGAGCAGAGCAGAGTTTCACATTTAACGTAGAGGGGTTTGCTAGGTTCCAGATCCGCTTTTCACTGCCTCTCTCCCTGGCTTTTCATTGTTTTCATCGGTATTATCTGGTGCTGATCCTCAGATGGCGTCATGGTCCAGATCACTGCAGAGAACATGGATGCCTTGAGGCAGGCGCTGCGAGAGATGAAGGACTTCACCATCACCTGTGGCAAGGCGGACGCCGAGGACCCCCAGGAGCACATCCACATCCAGTGGGTGGATGACGACAAGAACGTCAACAAGGGGTAAAGGCAGCAAACTCCCCCCTGAGGCATGTAGTTACGGCTGGGCTCTGGGTCTGTCTGCACTGATGTGTTACAGCTTCACTGGGAGCCCTGCCTGAGAGGCTGCCTTTAAACTTCTGGTTTCTTGGCTTCATTTCTGAAGGGGTTTCTGTGCATATTTTTGAAGGGAGGAAACTGACTGTTTTACAAAACAATTTCTCTAAAGTTATTGAGATAATAGTAATACCTAAGCCTTGTATGGTTTGCAAAGCACTTTTACTAACATTGTTTAATCGGATAGAACTAGTGTTAGTAGTATTCCAGAGGAGTAAACAAGCACCACAAGGCTAACCACTTCCACAAAGCAAGGGAGTGGCAGGCGGGACCGCCTCCCTGGGCTGCAGATGCTGTCCTCTTTCCCAGTCAGGGCAGCTCTTGTTCTGAAGGTTCAGGCCCAGACCCTGGAGCCGCCTGTATCTCATGCCCTGTACCTCATCTAACAGTAAATGCTGTTCGCTGTACTTCAAAGGACATATAGACTCTTATTACTGCTTCTTCCTACCTCCACTGCCATCATCCCAGTTCAGGCCACCATTGTTTGGTCTGCATTATTGCAGTAGCCTCCTAATTGGTTTCTTTGTTTCTAGTCTTGGCCTGTTCCTTCTTCCCAGCCTAATCTGTTTCCAATTCTACAGTGTTGCTCCTCTGCTCAAAACCCACCACTGACTTCCATTCAGGGTCAAAATCAAAGTCTTTGCAACCTCTAAGGCCTTACACAATCTGCGTCCCCCACCCCACTCTTACTTCTCAAGCAACACCTGCCTTCTTGTGGGGACATGTCAACTAGACTTCTGTCCTGGCACGTGCTGTTCTCTCAGCTTATGTTTTGCCCCTGGGTAGCCACCTGAGTCACTCCCTCACTGCCTTCAGAAGGCCTTCTGTGGCCAACCTGTGTAAGTAATAACCGTCATACACATTCTTCCATCCCACCCCCCAATTCCTATCCCCTATCTGTGCAGAATAGTTCTAAGAGCACTTACAAGTTTCTAACAGACAAAAATTTTTACTTACTATATTGTTCCTGGGATGTAAGCTCCATGAGGACAGGGACTTTGGTCTGTTTCATTTACTGCTACCAGTATATTACCAGCACCCAAAGCACTGTCTGGTACCTAGCAGTTACTTTAAACATTGACTGAATAAATGAATATATTATACCTCATTGTATTAAGCTTTCTCCCATCCATCCTCTATCCATCTACCCATCCATCCTTTAGGCAATAATAATTCCACGTGCGGAGATACAAAAATGAATTACATGTGGTTCCAGCTGATAAGTGGCTCAGTCTCGTTTTGAAATAGTTATAAGTGCATCAAAGTATGGAAAATGCTCATAGAAAACACTGTAGGATGCAGTGAAGATTAAAGAAAAGGAGAGTGGAAGCTTGGCAGAGGTGATAGGGCAGTATTCAAGAACGACTCCATAGAGAAATGGCTGTTGCTTTAGCTGAATCTGGTAAGATGAGTGGGTATTGGCCACATAGCTCTGGGAGAGGAGACATTCCAGTCTGAGGGAATAGCAGACCCAAAGGTAGGCAGAGGGCGTTTACAACACGGCACAAAGACTTACTGAACAAAAAGCAATTTCTAAAGCGTTGAGTACATTTGACTGTTTTACAAATAACCCTGTATCTTCCCGTACTTCACTGGCAAATTTAATTTCAAATTCAGTTTGTTTAATTCTCCATTACAGTTGGAAATGAACATGATTATTAGGACCAAAAAATTGATCATCTGAAAATCTGATGCCGTAACATATTGCTGACTAAAAACAAGCAGGCGGCTTCTTTCTACAACAAGTGCCATTGGCAGCATCTTAGGAAACAGGACAAGAACTAGTCACGGAAGACTGGAACTCAGGAGTTTAGTTTGTAGTGTACAAATGGAACATTTTCCAGCTTGTACACTTCTGTCTGCATATCCTCTCTTAAAAAAGTACTCATCAACTAAGAGTGTTCTTTCTGATGAATTAGCAATTAAACTTAACATTGTTTAAATAATTTTAATTCAAGTGAATGACGTGAATCCCTGATATTGAAATTTAAGTTAAATTTCATCTTACATACGTAGAGATTGGAAAACATAAACAGGTTTCAAAATTGTTAGGAAGAGTTTGGAATCTTTGTGATTCCATTGTTAATCCTTATCACCAATGAGTGTGCATCTCCAGTTATTTATACTTGTTATATTTTGGAGAGGAAATGACTAAAAAGTGGGCCTTTCTATTCAGGAATCTAGGAATGATAATTTAGCACTAAAGGGAATTTGTTGTGATAAATAAAACAGATACTTGTTCACCAGTTCACATCAGCACTGTCATAATGAATATACTCGGTTAAATAATTCTTTTCATCCACAAACATTTATTAAACTCCTATGTTCCAAGTAATGTGTCCGAACTGAGAATATAGCACACAAAGGTAAGTATATCATATTCCTCCCTTTCAGAAGTTCATTTGTAAGACGGATACACAAAATGTGTGGTGAGTATAACGTGATGGGTGTCATAGTCAGGAGCAGAGTACTGTGACAGAGCAGAGGGGAGAGCAAGATTGAGGGACAGGGTGGCTGTGCAGTCACTGAAGGAAGGAATGCTGCAAGGAGAGAGCAGGTTTGAGTAAACAGTTCTTCATATTAAAATAACCAGCTCCTGGAATCATGAGTCCTTCTTTGTATGTGTGTTCTTTGAATTATTTTAGTGAGCCCTTTGCATGAGCACTCTGTTCATACATGTTTGTGTAGTGGCTTCTTGCTGTGATATGTTGATCAGATGTGTTTGGCAAGGTGCCCAATATAATTAGTTGCAAGATTTGATAAGAGAAGTGGCTCTTCTGACTTCAGAGCTGCTTCCATCTCTCTTCTTTGCCTCTATTTTAGTGTCATAAGTCCTATAGATGGGAAGTTAATGGAGTCTATAACAAGTGTGAAGATATTCCATGGATCAGAGTATAAGGCAAATGGAAAAGTCATCAGATGGACAGAGGTAAGGAGATAAAACTTGACATTCTTGACCCGCGTTGAGCACAACTTTTAATAGGTCCAGAGACACATTCTGGTCTGATTCTGGAGGATAATAAAAAAGTCTGTCTGTCTACTATACCGCAGTTCCCTCTGGTCTGTCTGAGGTCACCGGCAAGAAATGCCACCAAGTGCAGGCCGCAGCACTGATGTCTGCTGCTGCCTGTGCACAGCTGTTAGGGCAGCGGTTCTCAACTTGTGGGTTGCGACCCCTTTGGGAGTCTAACGACCCTTTCACAGGGGTCGCCTAAGACAGTGGTCGGCAAACCGTGGCTCGTGAGCCACATGCGGCTCTTTGGCCCCTTGAGTGTGGCTTTTTCACAAAATACCACGTGTGGGTGTGCACGTACAGTGCGATTGAAACTTCGTGGCCCATGCGCAGAAGTCGGTTTTCGGCCTGGGTGAGTCTGTTTTGAAGAAATGGCATTAGAAGAAGTGGGGGGTGTCGGTTGGTCAGGCGACAGAAGACGTGGCGCAGGCGGCCTCGGGATATGCAGCGCTGGGGAGGCGCACGCGATTCACGCACGAGTTGAGTGAGCCAGTCAGTCAGCAGTCTCATGTGCAGTGGTTAGTGCTAGTCGCGTCCGCAAATCCCGCGCGGGTGACAAAAGTACCTACTCAAAGCATAAAGTTACCTGTATTTTTCCAACCAGCTGCAAATCCTACAGGTATTTTTGTCATCAATTTAAGAATTGTAATTATTTTGTGTTGGTGGCTTTATTATTATTTTAGCAAAGGCCAGCTTAGGAGTACCCTAATTAAATTAATAACAATGTACCTACCTATATAATAAGTTTAAAAATTTGGCTCTCAAAAGAAATTTCAGTCATTGTACTGTTGATATTTGGCTCTGTTGACTAATGAGTTTGCTGACCACTGGCCTAAGACCATTGGAAAACACATATATAATTACATATTGTTTACAGTAGCAAAATTACAGTTATGAATTAGCAACGAAAATAATTTTATGGTTGGGGGTCACCACCACATGAGGAACTGTATTAAAGAGTCATGGCATTAGGAAGGTTGAGAACCACTGTATTAGGGATTTGTTTGCACTAGAATTCACGAAGGCTACATCTCTGAATGGTACATACCATCTTTGCTGTATGATTTAGAAAGCTGGGCTAGTTATGCTGCACTCCCAGTTAAATTATCTTAGATAACATGGTTTTTAAGAATTGACTTATTTCATCAGTAGAAAACTAGTGTGTCAACTATAATTTAAAAAGAACAAAAGAAAACTAAAGTTTGGAGACTGAGTAGCTTGTCCAAGCTTACATGGCAAATAAGTAATATCAAAGTCCTGATTCAAACCCTGATCTGGACAACTCCTAAGCTCTTTTCCACTGTATTGCTCCTTAACTCGAAAGCTGTATTAGAGGCTAACCTGGAGCAAGAGGAGCCGGGCAGAGACCCTGTGTGTGTGTACATCTCAGACAAATCAGAAAGTTTATTCTCTGAGAATAAACAGGTGGGTCCTAGGTCTCCCAATTTGTTTTGAATCTTATTTATACTTATCTATAAAATACACTGTTAAGTTAAAGATCTCTAAGATTCCTTGCAACTTTAGAAGTAATTTTTTAAAAGTTCTGTGACTTCTAGCTTTTCTATGTTACACACAAGGTAACTGAGGCAGGAGAGGTTAAGTGCCCTACCCAAGTTCACGTAGCTGGTTCCTGAGAGCAGAGAGTCTAGTGCTGCAGTTCTTGAGCTGTTGTTCCAAGTGATGTCCTTCATACCAGGCCCAGTGTTCTCATACACAGCTCAGTGGTCTTAGGGGCTTGCTTTATGACTATTCCTTTGACATATTTTGAGCAGTTCAGACACTGGAACATAAAAAACTCTATTGCTTATAAAATAGTTTGACCTCCGTTCCCTCCTTTTTGCTCCCTAGTAACCCAGTGAGGCACGGTGGCGGTGGCGACCCATTAATTTGCATAATGAGAAAGGCTCTGAAAGGCTGTGAGCCTGACCTGCCTGATGCTAGTTACTGAGCAGAGGCCAGGGCCTCCCGACTCCGACTCCAGAGCATTTCCCTCCTTCCATGCTGGCACTCTCACCTGTGCATGCGTCACGGGACTTCAGAGCTGACTCCTTGTTAGTATTCTTAGTATAAGCTGCTTATTGAGCACTGAGCTCGGGGTTGGTATATATAAGCATATTTTGCTTATATATCATTTTTTATAGTAACTAGAGAGGACAGGTGCTTTCCATTTTATAAATCCAGATTGGGCATTCAGAAGCCAAAGGACTTGTTCATCACCTTCCTCTATGCGACTAGGACTCAGGTCTCTCAGTTCCAAATTTGCTATGTTCTCCCTATTCCCAGTGTGTGCACACTGGCATAGCTCTGACCTCAGCAAAGGCGGAGCTATATGTTGGGGAAAGCTCTGTGATAAGAGACAGAAGACCTGGATTCCGGGCTTACCCCATCTCTGTCTCTAAATCCTTATGTACACTTGGGTGAATCACCTCCCTTCTATAAGTAATCTGTAACATGAAGGGTTTGGCTCAAGCTATAGGAGCCATTCTCTTAGATTCTAAGATCAGTTCCTAAGAAAATCGTCCACATACAGGAATTACCTTTTAGACGTGCACAATGCAAAATGTAAGCCTTTTTTGAGTAGATTGTACCAGGATGACCCTGACTATGGCTTCCAGGGAAATAGGCAGGTTGCTGCTACCATTTTGTAGATGCAGAGACTGAGATTCTTGGATATAAGATGTTAGTGTCCCCCTTTTGTCCCAGGGACTTTGAGGTACCCTGTCAGGTCTTTTTGCACATCTCTGTGGGTCAGGGTGCTCATGCACAGTGAGCTGATACACTTGTTTCTTCCCAATCTCCTGGGCACAAGGTTAAGTCTCTTATGTTCGGGCAACAGGTGTTTTTCCTAGAAAATGATGACCAGCACAGTTGCTTGAGTGATCCAGCAGATCATAGCCGGCTGACGGAGCACATAGCCAAGGCTTTTTGCCTTGCTCTCTGTCCCCACCTGAAGCTCCTGAAGGAAGATGGAATGACTAAGCTGGGACTTCGTGTGACACTGGACTCAGATCAGGTAAGAGATTCTGAGGCAGCCTCTAAAGCTGGCCTTGGAAGTTGGTCAGTTTCTGTTTTCCGACATGTGAGTTTCCCTGCATCAACTCAGCCTTTCTTTGGACTCTGGGTCTGACCAGATATAGCACTTTGGCTTTCCCTCTGTTTTTTTTTTTTAAAATATTTTATTTTATTTTTTACAGAGAGGAAGGGAGAGGGATAGTTAGAAACATCGATCAGCTGCCTCCTGCACACCCCCCACTGGGGATGTGCCTGCAAGCAAGGTTCATGCCCTTGACTGGAATCGAACCCGGGACCCTTCAGTCCGCAGGTCGACACTCTATCCACCAAGCCAAACCGGTTAGGGCAGGCCTTCCCTCTATTAAAACTACACCTTGCTGTGCTGTTTGATCAGACTCTGAATCATTTGCACTTTGGCTTCCTCACCTCAAAGTGTTCCAAGGACTTGGTTTTCTTTTTAGGGTTAGGAGAAGGGTGTGTGAAGACCCGCCACCCCTGTGTGAATAATATTGATGCTGCCCATTGAGACTCCTCAGTCCCACCCTTCAGGAGTCATTCTGCCCTTAGAGAGCAGGGCCCAGCTGTCCTTTGTCCTGTTGACCACAGCAGGCCTCTGCTGACTGGCCTCTGCAGCTCCCACTCCTTACGGTTTTCTTACTGCGAACATTTCCATGTTTGTTAGTAGATGGGACTTGAGCTATTTCCTCATTCCCTGTCAGCTCACGTCTCCTATAGTCAAGCTTCTCTCCCTTTCTTACTCAGATTTTTTGGTGCTGTTAGTAGCAATAATCCACTTTAAAAATTTTTTTTTATTGATTTCAGAGAGGGAGAGATACAAACATCAATGATGAAGGAGAATCATTGATTGGCTGCCTCCTGCATGCCCCCCCACTGGGGATAGAGCTCACAGCCCAGGCATGTGCCTTGACTGGGAATAGAACTGTGACCTCCTGGTTCATAGGTTGACACTCAACCACTGAGCCACGCCAGCCAGGCAGCAATAATCCATTCTTAGCACATGTGCTCCCACTCTGCCCCAGTCCCTCATCCCATTGCCTCTCTCCCATGGCTTAGCATCTAATCTCTCTACAAGATATACCTCAGATATATTGTGGGTTCCACTCCAGACCACAGCAGTAAGTGAATATTGCAGTAAAGTGAGTCACATGAACTTTTGGGTTTCCCAGTGCATACAGAAGTTACATTTACACTGTACTGTAGTCTGTTAAGTGTTCAGTAGTAATATGTCTAAAATCAATGTGCACACCTTACTTAAAAAGTACTTTATTGCCCTGGCTGGTTTGGCTCAGTGGATAGAGTGTCAGCCTGAGGACTGAAAGGTCTCGGGTTTGATTCCAGTCAAGGGCACATGCCCGGGTTGCAGGCTTGATCCCCAGTAGGGGGTGTGCAGGAGGCAGCTGATCAGTGGTTCTCTCTCATCATTGATGTTTCTCTCTCTCCCTTCCTCTGAAATCAATAAAAAATATATTTAAAAAATACTTTATTGATAAAAAATTCTAGCTTTCAGTGAGTCGTCATCTTTTTGCTGGGGGAGGGTCTTGACTCAGTGCTGATGGCTACTGACCAGGGAGGGGCTGCTGAAGATTGGTGGGCTGTGGCAGTTTCTTAAAATAAGATAATAATGGAGCTGATGATTGACTTCCTTTCACGAACGATTTCTCTGTGACGTGTGATGCTCTTTGATAGCGTTTTACCCACAGAACTACTTTCAGAATTGGAGTCTGCCCTGTCAGACCCTGTCACTGCTTCATCAACTAAGTTTATGAAATACTCCAAATCCTTTGTTGCCTTTCAAGTTTTCACACCAGGGACAGATTACTTTCTTTGCATAAGAAGCAACTCCTCATCCATTAAAGTTTTATCATGAAATTGCAACAGTTCAGTCACGCCTTCAGGCACCGCTTCTAATGCCAGGTCTCTTGCTGTTTCCACCACATCTGCAGTTATTTCCCCCACTAAATTCCTCAAAGTCATGCATGAGAGTTGGAACCAACTTTTTCCAAACACATGTTAATGTTGATATTCTGACCTGTTTCCATGAATCACAAATGTTCTTAATGGCACCTGGAATGGTGAATTCTTTACAGAAGATTTTCAATTTCCTTTGTCCAGATCCATCAAAACAGTCTCTTATCTATGGCAGATACAAAATGTAGTTCTTAAAAAGACTTGAAAGTCTAAATTACTTCTTGACCAATAATGGATGCATTAGCAGACATTAAAACATTAACCCATTGTACAGCCATCAGAGCTCTTGGGTGACCAGATACATGTCAGTGAACAGTAATATTTTAAAAGGAGTCTTTCTGAGTAGTAGGTCTAGACAGTGGGCTTAAAATACTCAGTAAACTATGTTGTAAACAGATATATTGTTATCCAGGCTTTGTTGTTCCACAGGCAAAGTTTTAGCATAATTGTTAAGGACTCTAGGATTTTTGGAGTGGTAAATGGGCACTAGCTTCAACTTAAAGTCACCAGCTGCATGGCCCTGCCCTTTGAAGCCAGGCAGTGACTTCTCTCGAGCTATGGAAGCCCCAGATGGCATGTTCTTCCAATATCAGGCTGTTTGCTCCATTTAATGTAGCCAACTTCACTCATTATCTAGCTAGATCTTCTGTATAATTTGCAACAGCTCTTGCTGCTTCACCTTGAACTTTGTTATGGAGATAGCTTCTTTTCTGTAAACCTCATAAACCAACCCGTTAGCTTCCAATTTTTTTTTTTGCTGCTTCCTTGCCTCTCTCAGCTGCCATAGAATTAAAGAGTTGGGGCCTTGCTCTGGATTAGGCTTTGGCTTGAGGGAACGTTGTGGCTGGTTTGATCTTCTATCCAGATCAGCCGTGGGCAAACTACGGCCTGCGGGCTGGATCCGGCCCGTTTGAAATGAATAAAACTAAAATAAAAAAAAAAATGACCGTACCCTTTTATGTAATGATGTTTACTTTGAATTTATATTAGTTCACACAAACACTCCATCCATGCTTTTGTTCCAGCCTCCGGTCCAGTTTAAGAACCCATTGTGGCCCTCGAGTCAAAAAGTTTGCCCACCCCTGATCCAGATCATTAAAACTTTCTCCATATCAGCAATAAGCATTGGTATTCACTGGCATAGCATTTTTAATTTTCTTCAAGAACTTTTCCTTTGCATTAACTTGGCTGTATGGTGCAAGAGGCCTAGCTGTTGGCCTCTCTGAGCTTTGAATGTGCTTTCTTCACTTGTTCATTTCTAGCTTTTGGTTTAAAGTGAGAGATGTGAGACTCTTCCCTTTACTTGAACATTTAGAAGGCATTGTAGGGTTATTAATTGGCCTAATTTGAATATTGTTGTGTCTCTAGGGAGGCCTGAGTAGAGGAAGAGAGATGGGGTAATGGCCAGTCATTGTAGCCGTCAGAACATACACATTTATTGGTTAAATTCGTAGTCCTATGTGTGTACAGTTTGTGCACCCCTAAATAATTACAAAGCAACATCGAAGATCACCATAACAAATGTAATAAAGTTTGAAATATTTCTAGGATTACCAAAATGGGAGAGACAGAAGGTGAGCAAATGGTGCTTGATAGACTTGCTCGATGCAGTGTTGCCACAGTCCTTCAATTTTTAAAAAACTCAGTATCTACAAAGCACAGTAAAGCAAAGCACAACAGAATGAGGTATGCCTGTACATTTCTTTTGGATTTTGGATCCCTGAGACATGTCCCAGTGTTCCTGTTTGATGCTGTTATCATTAGGGAAAATGTGGACGCTTATGGATCTGGCTCCATTTCCTAACTAGTCATCAATCAAGAAGTGTGTGTTTTCTACTTAAGGTCTTTCCCCATGCTATACTAAGCATAGCAGAGTAATTTAAATGAGGTATCATGGTTCTTTGTCGAATGGTACCAGCTGGAGTTACTTCACATAAAACAATTAAAAAATAATTTTTCACTGATGAGTGGGCCTCTTGATGGCCAGGGCCCTGTTCCATTCATCTTTGAATCTGTGTGTTAGTAGATGCTCAAAATATGGTGTGGGGCCCAGTGGTTGACAGAACAAGTGTTCAGTTCCTGCTGTGCTAGGGAGTTATACTCAGTATAGTTCTCATTTTAATTTTCACAACTATAGGCTTGGGTTTTATTTCTGACATTCTGTGCCTCTCCGTAACACCTCAGTCCCTTCTGGGGGAACTAAGACCCTAACAGGTTAAGTGTCTTAAGAGACCAAGGTTTCACAGCTACCACGTGTTAGGGTCAGGATGAGTAAATGACAGGATGAAAAATGACAGCTTAGGGAAGAGAAGTTTGTGTTAACTGCTGTGTGTCCAGCCCATGGCCAGGAAGCCCATCTCCTTCCTGCTCAGCCTCCTTGGCCCTCAGCTCTCTGGAGGGAGCTGCTCTATCCAGTAACCTGTCATCCTTCTCTCTGTGCTATAGGTTGGCTATCAAGCAGGGAGCAATGGCCAGCCCCTTCCCTCGCAGTACATGAATGACCTGGACAGCGCGTTGGTGCCAGTGATCCATGGAGGGGCCTGCCAGCTCAGTGAGGGCCCCATCGTCATGGAACTCATCTTTTATATTCTGGAAAACATCGCATAGACAGAGGACTTCGTGTTTTTTTCCTGTTCAGACCTGTTGCAACAGCAGTCATACCAAGTCATTTGCACTTTAGAACTGGAAGATTAAGCTTTTGTTAACACTATTAATTGGGGGTGGGGTGGGAGTGGGGTTTGGGGGATTACGGTGGCTGGGGGGACAGATGTTCCATTAATTCTAAGTCTTCTATGCATTGTCCACCAGATCTGGGCAGCTTCCATTACTGCACCACCGTTATATTATCCTTGAAGCTAAATCCCCTTCTGTTCCTGTTTAAACAAGAATTCTGCTCCTGTTTTAAGACTTATTTATGGCCTTGTGCTCAAAAATGCTCAAATGGGTACAACCATCACCAAGGGTGGGGTGGGAGGGCAGAGAGGAAATAAAATATGAAGCATCAGTCTTGTACTTTTTGTACAGAATTGATACAAAAAGGATCACACACTGATCTTGTTCCATTTACATCACAGTAACAAGTAGAAGTCACACTTACGTTTTTGTTTGTTTTTACCAGCTTACCCAACGGATTATTACTCTGCTAGCCAAGCAAGGGCACCTCAGTGTGAATGAGGTGATTGGATAGCAGAGCCCAGTTGAGGATTGCTCGAGATCTGCCCCACTGATTGGCAGGTACTGAATTGGGCCTTTCTGTGAAAGCTGACAATATACTCAAGGCATTTTTAGTTATAATGTACACTAGCTGTATTTTTAAAAACATTTTATTGAGAAATAATTTAAACTTCCAAGAAAGTTGCAAGTACAAAAAAACCCTATGTATGCTTTACCTAGATTCACCTATTGTTCACGTTAACACTTTGCTCATTTGCATTATCAGTGTTTCTCCACAAAAAATGGAGACATTTGAGAGTAAGTTGCATAGCTAATAGCTCTTTACCCCTAAATACTTTAATGCTTATTTCCTAAAATTAAAGACATTCTCTTCCATGGCAGCAGGACAGTTCACAACTTTAGTCAATCTAACATTGATACACCAGCTACTTGACTCGAGCATCCGTCCAGTAGTGTCCCGCACGGCTTTCCCCTCCTGTAAAGCTTCTAGCCTAGGATCAGACAAGGCAAATAGCTTTACTGACCCACCTGTATCTTTTATGTCCTCCATACTTTTGGTGAGTATATTCCCTCACCTCATTTTAAAAATTTGATTGGTAGCTTTCCACAATTAGAATCAATTTATGCATTCTGGCCAGAATCCTAAGTGATGTGTGCTTGTTATATAGCCGCCTGCACACCATTGATGAGGGTAAATTTTGATCACCTGTTCAGTGTTGTCCAATTTCTCTAGTATTTCCCCCCTTGGAATGAATAACCAATGTGTACAGACACTTTCAGATCATGCAAATATCTTGCTCATCAAAATTTCCCTAAGATTTAGCATCCACGGATGTTTCTTATCTGAACTAATCTTTTACATGATGGCTACAGATTTTTCAATTCCAGCACTCCCTCCACCTTTACCAGTTGCACTTGGTCATTATAAGCAAAAGCTCTTCCTCCTATTTACTATTCATTTAATTTTCATTGTGGACTTGTGGATTCCATTTTGAATGGTTCTAACCCATTATTTGGGTACTCAAATAGCTCAGCTTTGGCCATAGAGCATGCCTTCAGGGTAGCTCCCCCATCCTTGTGAAATGCTTCTATCATTTTTTTTTTTAACACTTTACTTTCTGGCCTAACAAGATTCTCCACACTCATCTAGTGCTTACATTGCCCCAGCCTTTGAATCAGCCATGGTTTCTTTTCGTGGTATTGGAAACCAAGGTTTGTTTTATCCATGATATATGTGATATAGTCAAAGTACTTTCTTTTTCATTAAAATTTATTTTGGTCACAGACCTAATGGATTTCACGACCTAAAGTTTGAAAAACACGGCTCTAAGGTAACTCATTCTTATCACTGTCATCTTCTAAAAGCCCAGGCCAAGCAGCAGACGGTCCCTCTGCTACAAGCACAGCTCCAAGAATCCTCTGGAAGCTAATGCAGGCCTCTGGGAAGTGAGAGGCTGCTTCCCATTGGTTAGCACTTGGCAATTAAAGGCTGTGGAGCTATGTTTAGGCAGCCCACAACCTGGCCTTCACTTGGAAGTATGTCCACCTGTTTATCCCTTCTCCATGGCGGTGGTGGTGGATCCACATTCTGTACTCTCTCTCCATAAAGCTTTGCTGGTGGTGGCTGCAGAGTACGGTGACTGTAACCTTTTCCCAGACTCAGAGGCACCCAGAGCTTCTAAGGGAAAAGCATAGATGCCGCCCAAAGAATACCAGCATGCACTGAGCCTTGGGACCACACATCCCTCTAAAACCTGGTAGGAATATTTCATAGGGCAGGGATTTGAGGTGTAACATCCAACTTGGTCTAAATATACCTTGGAAGTTTAGAGCTTCTACAAATTCTGGTCCCATTTTTCCCCCACAGAAATTTATCTTTCCTCCTGTTCAGTTAAATATACCTTGCAATTGTATTTCTTCTGGATCAGTGCAAGCTTTTAAATTCTTCCACTGAGGACAGACTCTGATCCTGCAGAGTCAGGTCCATTCTCAATTTGCATAAAATATCTTGTGGAATGGGGCATAATAGAGCCAAGGCTAGTTTACCCCCTCCCCCCCCAATTGTTTTATCTCTGTATTATACACTGTATATTGTAAGAGGTATATAAAGTAGAGGGCTGAAAGACCACATTTCTAAATATGTCAAATTTTTCTAGAACATAAAACTTAAAGATTGGCATATAGAGATCCTTATAAACTGAAGAGGGATAGGATTGCCATTATGATAACATTAAATTTTAAAAATTATTGCATTCTTACCAAATGCTAGACAAGGTATTTCTCCATTTATTTTTATCAAACTTTCTGAGCACCTACTGGGCTCTAGAAAGATAGGACGTTACCTTGTGTAAGTTCCCATCTAATATCTTCCCTCATCCAGTGGTTCCTGAATGCTGGTGGGCCCAGCATTTCCAACTAAATTTACTTCTGTCATAATTAGTCATCAGGGGAGCAATTTATGCATTTCATGCAATAATCAAGCAATCTGCTGGACACTTTTTATATTAAGTTCTATTTTAATAGTAATGTTAAAATAATTTAAACAGTAATGGGAATTTTAGGAATCGTACACGTAGCCTGAAAGGCTAAGGAGTGGAGCAGGAATGATGCCCACGCTGGAGTTTGGGAAGCTGAGGCCGTGGGAGGGTCCGTGGGAAGATTCTCGGAGCTGGACCAGGCACAAACCCTGGCTCCACCAGCCTCAGTCCCACGGTTTCATCTTAAATGGAGCTGCCTACTTAAGGGGCAAGATCTTTGAGAACTACCCACAAAATTCAGAAAACAAGCTCTCAACAATGGTGGCATAAGAAAGGAAAATAATGTTAGTCACAAAATAGTTTGCCTTTGTGAGCAAGACTTCCTAAGAAAAATTTCTTCTGTATTTTGTTCAGTTCACTAATTCAGAAGAAAGTATGCCTTGCACTAGATTAAAGAGGGAATTTACAATTTAAAAATAATTTGGGTCATGGCAGCTTCTCTGCCCCCGAATCACTAATCTGTTCGGTTGCTGCATTTGGACAAGTCTCAGGATAAGACGAGGCTGGGCAGGCTCCTCCCACTCCCAGTGACCCCGCATGCCTTGGCTGCAACAAAGGCCCTTTCAGAAGGAGCCTCAGTCTCCAAGTCCAGTGGGTGCTTTGTCTTGCCTCCCCCAGCCTGGAGGTTTTGTTTTTCAAAAGCAAAGAGCAGGGAAGGAGACGAGAACTGACCAAGCTGCAAAGGGAAACCTGTGAGGCACAGAACACTTCCTACAAATTGCAACGGGGCGTTTCCGGTGGAGGCCTGAGGTCAGGAATCCGAAGGTGGTTGGAGCCTCTGAGGGTAACCACAGCTGTCCTTGCCCTGTTAGTAAGCACTGGTTGTGGTGCAAACCCTTCTTTGCTCTAGGCCATCTTAGGAAGGCTAACAACCCTTCTTTTCATTCTAGATCGCTGCTGCTTTGACACACAGATGTAACTACAAATGTTAAATCTCACATCTGTAGAAATTTTGGTAGTTTACTCTGATGGCCAAGTTAAGTCTGGTCAGAAAGCTCTTGGAAAAAAGTCGTTTGTCTGTCCTTCCTGCTGTTACCCTCTAAAAGATTTGCTACTAAGGGCAGGAAAGCACGGTCCAGCCCTACGTCAGAAAAAGACACACACAAACAAAAACTCAATCCCTGAGCTGTGCTTACGCAGTGCTGTGGTGACCAGTAAGCTGAATGTATCTGCTTCACTTAGAGCCTTTAAAAGATGACCTCAAGGAATGCTTTGTACAACTTAAGCTAATGCTAAAATATGGGTGTGGGGAGAGGGAATGGGATATTAAAGTTTATTTCTAAGAAATGTAGAATACTGCAGTTTTGAATATTAAACCTATTGCAACTACAAATCCCTCCGTCTCCATCCATTCAGAAAAACAAAGCCAAAGGAGAATTTCTTGGGGAGAATTAAGGGATTTCCCTCGGTGATCAGCCAAAGAGGCAAGGCTTCCTCTGCCCTCTCTCAAAGGAGAAAGCCACAGCAGCAGTTTCTGTCAATTAAATGTTACTGCTACTCGGGCTTTTAAAAAGTGATAGGACTTTTGTTTAGGATTTTGATGGTTACTCTGCGTGTAGGGCATAAAACCCTATAAGTGAATTAGACATAGTTTCTTAAAAAGTTACATTTTTGTGTCATTTCCACCCCCCCCCCCCCCCCCCAATTAACAGTCTTTTTGTGTTAGGTGCACAGACCGAACCCAAGATACAGCCTTGCCTACTTCCCACCATATAGTCCAAAACATCACTTTCTTCCTCCACCGAGAGCGTGGGGAATAGTGCAGCAGCTGTCAGGAAACAAGGCACAGGCAGACGGGCGTAAACCGAGCTGTGGCCCAGGCCACCACTGACACCGAGTCACGGAACCTGCCCTACCCCAAGCAGGGGCGTTTCCAATTTCAGGTTCTCCCATTCTTTACAGATAGAGCTTTTAAAGGCACATTCAGAAATGTTGCAACTAGAGGCTGGGGTAAGCTGCACACAGTTGCTACACAGGGGTTCAGGGGGCTGCAAGACCCCATGGCACAGAGCAATGAGGCTTTCCTTGCTTTTGCCCAGAGGGAAGGGGAAGCAGCCTCCTGGAATCCAGCCTGCTTTGGTGTGGAGGCCTAGGAAGGAGCCAGCAACAGGAGAGACCAGGCCGTGGTCAGTAATGCACGTACGTACAGGTCTTTGGTGTTTGTGTAGCAGCATGTAGCTCCCTTATGCACAAAGGCTTCTATAGCCAGCAAAGCTGGGAAAAGTATGCTTCTGCACACAGCCTGGCCTGACTCCTCTCCCAGCGTTGACTGAAGCACAGGCACAAAGCATAGGAAGTAAGTCTAAACTGCAATGAATACACACATAGAGTTTAGAAAGGTTTTCCTGAAAACAGACCTGGGTTTAACTTCCCTCCCAGGATCTACTGAGGATCCTAAGAAACTCAGGCCAAGCCCTACCCAGCAGTTTTGCCTTTTGATCATCCTCACAGATGAGAACTTCTGAGGCTTTCTCCCCCATAGGAGCTGCGTCCTGGAAGTGCCCTGTGGGCCTGGACAGAGAGCAGGAGTGGAGGTTCTGAGCGTCCAGAGAGCTGCCCACCTCACAGGCCCCTAGGCTCCAAGACCAGCCAGTTCTCAGTGACCATCTGTATGTCCTGGCCACTCAGAGGCTCCCGCAGCCTCACCTTCACCTCCAGCTTGCCCCCAGTGGGCTTCCTTCCATCCAGGACCTGAGGATCACAGAGAGGGAGATGGTAACTGATGGGGACGGGCTGGGAGCAGGCAGCTCCCTATGCTCACAGGTAAAGAATGAGGAGCTAAAACATTCTGTGGTATCAACATAGGAGTCTCTACTTCATGGCAACCCTGGTGGTGGGTCCAGAGAGCTGCCCACCTCACAGGTAAGTCTCACCAGAAGTAATATGTCAATCCAAGTAAGAGTTCTCACTCAGTTTCCCCATGGAAACTCCTGGGAGAAATTCTCTGGCTTAAAGGTGCAGCCTGAATAACCACAGCCCAGACCCTTCCTTCACAGATGGCCCAGAGAGTGGATGTTCTATTACACAGCCAGTGTGGCAAGGCCAGGACTAGAACCCAGGCCAGGGGTTCCTTTCTACCCCCCATGCTGCCTCCCTCCTGGGCAGGAAGGGGGAAGCTGGTGTGCAAAGCAGTGAGTGCTGCAGCCTCGAGAAGCCTAACCACCAATGTGGCCAATACAGAGCCCTTAATAAAACCCCAGGAAAGGTGGTGGAGGGAGGTAGGTGCGCCGTAGTGGGAAAGCCCCACTGACGAAGGCACCAGCAAGGGTCTCGGCCACACGCTGCTGAGGACACCCTTCTCTCTGGAGCTCAGTTTCCTCATGTCAAAGGCAAGCTCTTCGAGTCACTGCCTGTGAAATCTGATGAGTTCATGGAAACTTAAGGAGCTGTCTGGGGCCAATTCCTTAACAATCTGGCTTCATTGTGGCAGGTCCCAGATGGTAAAATACCTTATCAACTTTATGTCCAGAGCTTGTTTCATTCTGTCAAGCTGCCAGACTACTGCCCAACCATAACTCTGTCCTTCCGTATCCAGGAGTTTGTATGTGCCAAGGTGACAGCAATGACCGGGCCCTGCCATCCACCATCCCTGGGAACTTGAGTGGCCCAGAGTGTCATGGAAAGAACATAGCTGCTTTCTAAAAGGGTGATGCTATAAAGTTTTGTCAGACCCTCGGAATCTCAGTCTGTAAAATGGGAATAACACCTATTTCACAGCACACTTCTGGATGTTTTTAATGGACTGATGCTCAGTGAACGTTGGGCTTTACTTGCCACCCTACCTCTGCAATCTCTGGGTCCTACCTCCAAAATCTCTCTGATCTCACACTCATTCTCCAGCCGCTCCAGTTTCAGGTGGGCTGTGCCGACCAGCTTGTCACTTCTGAAGAAGGATCTGGGGAGCCAAGGGTCAGCAGAGGGTTGGACTGGGCAGGGAAAGCAGGAACAAGCTGGCTGAGACCAGCACAAGAAGACTGAGTAGTAGCAGGGATGGCAGCAATGGAAGCCTTTCCTTCCTCCCAGCCCTCCCTCGCATTATGACTGACAGGGGGCTCACCCTTTGTGGAGGATTTCAAACTTGATTCCTTTGCTTTGGATCACCCTTCTGAAGCCCCGGTGGTTTCGGTTGATGTTTAATTTGAAGAGCTGATCAAATTCTGCAAGAGAGTAAGAGGAACTTGGTTACCAGGGATTGCCTGAGGTGGTGGTAACAGGCCTGGGGGCTGATCGCCCCTCTGGATCACTCTGCCTGTAATTCAGTGAGACTACCACCAGAGGGTGGTAGAGCCTAGGTCCTGGCCTTGCAAATCCACTTGGACAGTTCTTGTGCTCTTAGACACAGATTTTGCTCAAATGGGAGGGACATGGAATTTGGAGTCACCATTGCATTCCCACTACTTTTGTGCTTGGAGGCCATAGGCAAGTCCCTTTTTCTCCAAGCCTCAGTTTCCCCAACTACGTAAGAGGAGTGGTAATCCCTGCCTTTGTCTCCCAAGTTGAGTACCAAGTAAGATAACAGATCTGGAAACACAAATGTTGCACATACACATATCAGAGAATGAGGGAGGAGAAAGCAGCTCTCACCTGGAGAGTTTGTGTTCTTCACCACAGCTGTTTTGCTTTTTTGAGCCTGGTCCTAAAGCAGTAAGAAGGGAGAAGTGTGGGCAGCTTGAAAAAACAGGTCTATTGGGCCAAGTCGCCTATATATCTTCAAACCCCTCCCTATAACCAGACCTTCCAGGGACTGGGAGAAATTGAGCACCAGGTCCCCGAACAGAAGATGGGGTTCAGAGGATCCTATCTCTACCTGAACCTCACCGAGTTAGGGTAGTGGAACTCAAACCGCACAAAAGCATCCAAGTCATCAGGGGTCACCCCTATAAAGGAGAAATGGGGGTCAGCACCTGAGATGGAGGGGAGCCAGTGCCTCCCATTGGCTGGGGTACAGTGTCTAAGCAAGAGCCTCCTGGAGTCAGGGTGGCCCTAGGGCTACCTGGAGGAGCTGGGAGGTTCATTCCCCGGACAATGATCAGATGCATTTCTGTGCTGTTGAGTTCTGAGAAGATCCTATAGCCAGGAAGCCAGGAGAGAGAGCCCAAAGTGAAGTCATGCAGTGGGAAAGGGTCCCCCTTCCAGGGACTGCCTGCCTGCCAGGTAGTGCTCAGGAACAGAGGGTGCAGGAATAGAGGCACAGCTCGTCTGGGCTAGGAGCAGCAGAGCTGGTACGAAGACCTCGGTCTAGAGCTCCTTCCTCAACCACCCACAGCTCTGAGCTCCTCAGAGGCAGGCACCACGCCCAACCTCCCACATCCCTAGGCCCAGTGCCTATGGCAGGACCAAGCCCGGGAATTCTTACTAAAGGGGCCTAAGTCCCCAGCCTTGTCTCCCAGCCTCTTGGCCCATCCCTACATGGAGCCATTGTCTCAGGCTTTGGTACCTCACAGTCTGGAATGTCTTCAACTCAAAGTGGTGGCTAGGAGGGTCGAGGCCGCGAGCCTGGGCCAGCTGCAGGATCTCAAGCTGCTTCTTGCGGTCCTGAGCAAGCTTCTCAAACCTGACAGGTCCGGGTGCACACGTTAGCTCAACAGGCCCCTTTTCTGCTCCCTGCCCCACGTGCCCAGCCCTGCATTTACCGGGTAGTCTCGGCCACATTGCCCTGGTGCATGAACTGCTTGGAGAACAGCAGACACTTCTGAAAACAGAGGCTCAGAGTGGGTCTAGGTTGGTTTTAGAGGCCTGACTTCTGAAAGCTCCAACCTTCTCCTATAGTCTCACCCCTCTCCTCCCCCAACACATACCCTCCCCAAGATCACTTTCCAAGTCCCTAAGTTTTTGCTGTTTTCTTTCCTGATGATAGCCACACCCCAAAATTCAAATAGCACACTCCTATTTTATTACCCAAATTATTTACTACAGAATATTATCTTATAGTTTTTTGGGTGTTTTTTTTTCATAAATCACAATATTTGTGCAAAACCTAAGAGAAACATCATTTCAGAAAGTAGACTTGCTGGCAGCAGTTCAGATCGATATGTGCAAATATACGTTATGTCCATTTTCCTATATACATATATGTATATGTGTCTCCTAACACTTCCTCCGATCTTCAAAGTACTTTCCCCTCCAGCCTGTTGTCTGAACTTCATAACCACCTGGGATATTAACCATCCCATTTTACAGATGAAAATGTGGTGCAGAGAGGGGAAGTGTCTTGTGCCAGGTCAACAGCCAGTAAGTGGAATAGGCACAATTTGAAACCAAGCCTCTCTGGTCTGAGCCTCATGCCTTTCCCCAAAGGGAGGCTGTGGGCACTGAAGGAAAGAGGGACAGCAGTCAACTGACCTCATGCTGCTCCAGAAGCATTTTTTGTAGCTGAGCGTACACTTCCTCGGCCTTCTGGGAGAGGCGCAGGTCCTCATGGTGAATGAGGATAAAGTCACCCTCCTCATCCGTCAAGGGTGAAGGCACCTGCCAAGGTCACACGCCCCTCGGGCGCCAAGAGTCAGATTACCCCCCTACTGGCCCAACAGACACAGGAACCCAAACTGAATGGTTCCCCAGCTTCTAACCACCAGTGTTGGGAACTCATTGCCTCCCGTCTGTCCCAGGCTGCCGAGATGCTCTGCCTCCCACTGGCTTGTCATCTCTGACCACTGGCAGCCCACCTGGCCTTTCCTGGCCTCTCTTGGGGCCATGGGGCCGAGACGCGTAAGCAAAAGGCTTTTCCAGGGGTCACCACATCCTATCCCAGGCCCACCTCTCAGGTTGGCTGGAGGACCTCAGGGAAGGTATGGCTGATGGCAATGGACAGTGGCGTCCAGGCAGCTGCCTGGTTCACAGCCCTACTGTCAAGCCTGCCACCTGCCTCTTCTGCCTGAGAAGTCCTGCTTAACCAGGAGGGACTCACCTTGGCGAGGTCCACAGGTCTGCCGGCTCGGACCTGGATGATCTGAGCCTCGAGGCATTTGGCCAGCCGCAGGTGAGCTTTGGCCTGTTCCAGGTCCTGGCCACGCTTGGCCTGCAGGGCTGCCCGCTGGTATTGCAGTTTGCGGGCCTCTAGCAGTGCCAACTGCTCCCGCACTGAAGGGAGAGCGATGCTGGTTAGAGCCATGCCTGCCCTTCACTAGAGCCTTCAGTCCCCCACCCCTCTTTTCCCCAGCTCACCAGTGGGACTCAGTGACTCCTTAGAACTCGAGGCCTTGGGCTCAGGCAGGGGCCGGGAGGAAGATACCAGAGGCTTCTTAGATACTGGGGCCTGGGTTGGAGGCTCATCCTGCAGGTGCCCAGGAGGAGGTCACAGGGAATCTGCTCCCCACCCGGCCGCAGCAGCTTGGACTCTCTTGTTAATACTGCACTAACTTGCTGTGTGAACTGAGATGAATGGCCTCCCCTTGTGGGCCCTACAGAACCTCCGAAGCTCTGAGCTAACCTTCCCGACAGCAGACAGTAGGGTGTTAGGGATAGAACATGGGCTCTGGAGTCAGAAAGACATCGTTTTGAATCTAGCTCTGACAATGCCTATCTGGGTGCCCTTGGCCAAGTTTTTTCTCTGTAAAATGGACAACAGGGTCTGCGTTTACCCCTCATCTGCTACCCCCGCCCCATCCCTGGAGTCTTGGGCCCTGAGCCAAACCTCATCCTCATCCCCATCTTCCTCTGCGGGGGCTGTTTCCTCGGAGGAGGCCAGTTTCTGGGCAGCTGCTAAAGCAGCTGCTACTGCATCCGCCTCAGTGCCTGTGATGGGCTCCAGACCAGGGATGGGGGGGAATCCTATAGGGGGGAGAGAGCTGCGTGAGGGCTGGGGTGGCCTCTGTGGGCTCAGCTGGGTCTTCCGCGGCATGGCTGGGATGGGTGGCTCCCACAGGTGGAGGCACCTACGGGAGAATCATTTCCCCTCCTCAGAGATTTCACAGTGACCCTAGGCCAGCTGTGGGCAAAACTACGGCCCGCGGTTCGGCTGTTCTATCCGGCCCGCGGAGCCGAAAGAGCGGAGGGTTCTCTTGCTCTCCCCTCCGCTCCTTCACCAGCAGCAGTGTTAACATGTATCAGTTCACACAAACACTCCATCCATGCTTTTGTTCCGGCCCTCCGGTCCAGTTTAAGAACCCATTGTGGCCCTCGAGTCAAAAAGTTTGCCCACCCCTGCCCTAGACCAAGCACCACTTACCTGGAGGAACAGGCAACTCAGCAAAATCAACTTTGCGTCCTGCTCGGTGTGCTCGCATGGCATCTTGATATTGCTGCGAGGGAAGGAAGGGAGGAGCTATCTGCAGCAGTCTGCAGGCTCCCACAGACGAAGAGGAAGACTGAAAGCAGCCCCAGGAGGAAAAAGAGCCCGAGGCAGCAACAGCTTGGAAGAGACAGCGAGATGGAAACTCTAGCTGCAAGGGCAGAGAGCAGCCAGCCAGAGAGGGGCCGACACAGGCGGGTGTCAGGCTGCAGGCCCACCTTGGCAATGCGCTCGTGCATCCGGGCCTTGCGCTCATCCCCACTGGCCCGGGCCTGGATGCCTGCCTCACGGTACTTGTCCAGCCTCTGCTGCAGGGCGTCCAGCACCGTCTGTGGCTCAGCAGGGGCCACTTGAGAGGAGGAAGGAGATAGCATCAGCCCTGCCTACCTCTCCCCAGTCCCCACTCCACAGTCCCACCATCCCATCCTACCTGGGGTTGCTGGGGTGTCAGAGGCCATCACTGGCTGCACTCGCTCCACTGCTGGGGGTATGACTGTGGGTGCCTTGGAAGCCTGTGGGAGGGGCTTCAGGTCTGGGGGACCCAGAGCAGAAGTATAGGTGGGGGTGCCCAGACAGTCCCAGCCTGAGCAGGTTCCCTCCACCACCCCCATACTGACCCTCAGGCGCTGGGGGCATGGCACTCAGGTCCACAGGCTGCCCCTTCTCCAGGGCCTCCAGGACGGCACCAAATCTCTGCACAGCAGTAAGCAAAGCAGGTGTGGTCATAAGCCCGGGAATC